GTCAAATCTGCATTTCCCATAGGAATGCATTGAAAACCATTTGATCCGTATCTGCTCTTTTCCGTCCATAGAAACTAATGGGAAGCTGCTATTCTGCCTTCGACCACTAGAGGGGGATATTTTGTTTCTTTTTTTCTTAGGTTAAGAAAGGTTCAGGGAAGGCAGGGAAAAGACAGTCCAGGCAGTCTGAAGACTGTCTCCCAATCCACTCTCTAAACGCTGGGAGGAGTGAGGAAGCAGACAGGCACCCTTTTCACTGGCCAACAGTTAACTGAAAGTTCAAATTTTGCACTTTCCCTGCCTCCCACGTGGTTTTTTTCAGTTCTTAACTCAAATCTAAGTACTTAAGTCAAGTCAATATTTTCCTATGAGAGTGGTTCTTAAGTCAAAATGTTCTTAACTCAAGCCGTTCTTAAGTCAAGACCCCACTGTAGTATGATATTTCAGGATGCTCGTAATATAACCCCTACCCCCAAAATAATCCCCACGTTAAGTGAAACCCCGCTCTTAATCCTTGTACAGCAACCAGAAGATGACATGATTGCATTTGAATAAAAGTAGACTGTTGTATATGAAAAAAAAACATTCCCTGAAAATAAGACACTGCATATTTTGCAGCAAAAATTAATATAAGACCTTGTCTTATTTTCGGGGGGAAATTGTAGCATGGTCTCTGGCTCCCTCTAGTAGCCAGTTTTGGTAATACAGTGGGGCCTCGCTTAGCGATGTTAATCGGTGCAGCAAAAATCACTGCTAAGCGATTCATCACTAAGCGATTTTTAAAAGCCCATAGAAATGCATTAAACGCATTTAATGTGTTCCTATGGGCTTAAAAACTAACCTCATGCGAAAATCCTCCATTGCGGCGGCCATTTTCGGTACCTCTAAAGCGAGGCAAAACAACGGGCGGCCGTTTCGTTTACCTGGCGGCCATTTTGGAACCGCCGATCAGCTGGCCGAAAATAGGGGCTTTGCAATGATCACTTCCTTGTGATCATCGCAAAGCGAAATTTCCTCATGGGGCCATCGCAAAGCGATTTCATCGCTATACAGAGCGATCGCTATGCAAGGCACCACTGTACATAGTGAAAATACTTTTTTCCTGGTTTTCTTTTACCATGCTATGTGTGGCGTTCACTATTATCTGCCGTTTTCAGTATCTGCAGTGGGGCTGAGAACCCGTCCCCCATGGATCTAGGGGCCTTACTGTACGAAAAAGAAGAATAAATACTTCCCAAAATCTGCCAAAGAAATATTTTTTCCCTACAGAACAAACCACGGGGCTGCTTTGGTGCCTACAGAGGCAGGTCCTGGACCAAGGTGGGGCCTCTGTTCAGGAGCCACCGCAAAGTCCTAGGAGAGGTGGGCTTATTCATGGTTTTTCAGAACCAGAACCAGATTCTGCAGCTTCCGACTTAAGGTGGCTCTAAATAAGGACTCGAGGGAGTGGTGGCCTGTGGCCACTGCCCAGGGAGTTTTCGTGGCTGAGTGAGGATTTGAACCCAGACCTCCTCAGCCATAGTCAGACGCTCTTCCGTTATTCCACGCTGGTTCTCTTTTGCATGTTGTGATGTATTCTAGGAATCTGACTCAGAGTGAAGAGCACTTATTGAGCTGACAAATCCTTTTTTTTCCTTCTTCATCTCTTAAAGTTCTTATTGTTGTAACAAAAATATACTAATTGTATGTTTTTTCTCTTCTTCTCCTCTGTTTTCCATTCCCTCCCAGGAACCTATCAAATCCAGAGCTCCTCAACTACACTTAGAGTACCGTTTTTACAAACAGCTTGGTAACGCAGGTGAGAGGAGACAACAGCTTAGTAGAGATTGATTGGAAGGGTTGTAATACATGAATAGAGTCGCTGTGCAGACTAGGCAATGGAGGTTAATGGCTGGGTTTGTTTTCTTAAGACCTCCCAGATTGTTGGTAACTATTGGGAGTAACTAAAAGCGTCCCAGTTTTCCTGGGAAAAGGTGTGATGTTGTCACAGTTGCTTCAGTGACACCTCATTATTGTTGGGCATCAGCCGTTAGCGAAGATGTAACTTTAGAGGAACCTCCAAATTGACATCTTAGTTATTGGTGGTGGGGAGAAGGGATGAGTCAATCCACCCATCTTTTATTTTATAGACCCAACAGGAAAGGATTAATTACTTGTAACTTGTCAAGCTGTTAGTTCCAACGAGATTACCCCCGTTGAATGGGACAGATTTATCGAAATGTTGATGTCCCGAAATCCCAAGTCATTCTCTGGATGGAAGTCAGGGGTGGTTTGCCACTCAAGTAAACTCACTGAATTGCAGTGAGAGGTGCCAGTGCTGATTTTCCAAAAGCTGAAGTAGCTCATCTGTTGGTCTCAACTCAAGTAGAGCATTGAATCAGCGGCCCCTGAGACGTGCCAAAAACTCTGTTGATCCCATGGGTTTGTTCGGCTGGACTAACCACCGGACGTAGGATGTTATTTTACTTCTGCGTTCTGGTCCCTGGTATGCAGGACAGCCTTGAACCACTTGTGGGCCTTGTGCTTTGTTAAAATAAAATAAGATGTTGGTCAGAGTCCCCTGCCCTAAGATCACAGGGAATTGAGACCTCCTCTCACCACCTCTCTTCTGCACTTCTGCCAGAAGGTATTCCCCAGGTGTATTACTTTGGCCCGTGCGGGAAGTATAACGCCATGGTTTTGGAGCTGCTTGGCCCGAGCCTCGAAGATCTGTTTGACCTCTGTGACCGGACGTTCACGCTGAAGACGGTCCTGATGATCGCCATCCAACTGGTGAGCGCCGCCCCCTTCACCACCATCTTTACCGTAGAGACAAAACGTAGGGTGTAGGCCCTGGGCGTGCCCTTCCCCTCAGGGGACCCGGGCGTAGGACTGGAAGTGGAGAAAACACGCTCGCCCTTGGCGTCTCCTCCTGTTCGGTGCTGGCTAGCCCTCCTCTATGGAAGGGCAAGCTGTAAGATTTTTAGCAGGAAGATGGGAAACCCTTTTTAGGGGTTTGTAGTGTGATGGACAAGCTCCACGGGCCCGAGGGCGGGGTTTTTTTTTTCCTCTCCAGACTCCCAGGGAAATGTTTTACAAAGATCTTGGGATCCGCCTCCCCACTTTCTTTCTCTTCTCCCCCCTCCCCCCGCCAGATCACACGGATGGAGTACGTTCACACCAAAAGCCTGATCTACAGAGACGTCAAGCCAGAGAACTTCCTGGTGGGCCGGCCCGGGAGCAAACGCCAGCACACCATCCACATCATTGATTTCGGCCTGGCCAAAGAATACATCGATCCCGAGACCAAAAAACACATCCCATACCGAGAGCACAAGAGCTTGACCGGGACGGCGCGGTACATGAGCATCAACACGCATCTGGGCAAAGGTGAGCGAGGCAGGGTCTCCTCAACCGTGATTTCTCCCAGCTCCACAGTGGCGGTATCGTCCTCCAGCAAGGTTCGCTTTCGTTCTCAGTATAACCACCTTGTGAAGCAGGATATGATGAAAGAGAGAGCGAGAATCTCGCTGACTGCTACCCATGATTTTCAGGGATTGTTCTTTATTTTGTAGATTTATATACTGCTGACTTAATGCGGGACACTGCTCCAAATGGTTTACAAAGATAAACAATAACCCCACCCCACCCCACAAGGGATCACTGTGGACTTGAATCAGGCTATCTCGGGTCCTTAAAGCAAACATTCTTGGGTCTGGTAGCCTCCCAATGTGTGGGACTTCCTTCCGCACAATCGGATTCTTGGCCACACTAGCCGAGGAGAATGATCTGACCCTCTTGAGCGCATCAGTGGCTGGGTTATCAGACTGCCGGAACGGGACTTGGGGTCAGGTTTGTTATATGTGAGAATTTAGTGGAATGATCCGTCTCTCGGTGCGGGCATACCTTCAGCGCTGATTCTACTCTATCCTTGGAAAGAGGTCCTCGGCTCAACGTTCCTGCCTCTTTTCTGTCTCCTGCCCAGAACAAAGCCGCAGAGATGATTTGGAAGCCCTCGGGCACATGTTCATGTATTTCCTCCGAGGAAGTTTGCCCTGGCAAGGACTCAAGGTGAGCTCTATTTCCGTGAAAAAAGTGCAGATATTCAAGTTGATGCTGATTCTTCCAAAGGCAGTCCGGGAAGGTCACTTTCCTGGTCTCCAAGATTTGTCTCCTGCCTTCCCTTCTTCTCCAAGAAACGTTGGGTGACCTGGATGGTTGTCCACCTCCCCTTTTTTAGCCTGACCGCGAGCAAACGAGCCCATTCTGCGTGTGGGGCAGAAAGCCGCGCCCTGTCAAAACCCTGCTCCTCTCTGCCTTGTGAGACCGTCCCAGAAGATACCTGGGTGGAGTTCAAATCCACCTCAGCTGCCTCTTGAGGGCTAGAAACAGAGGTAGCCTTCTGGTTTTTGTTTCATGAAGAGCTGCGGAGGCTCCGTCGGTAACTTGAAATGTTGGTGAACATTCCGTGAGGAGACGGTCGCTCGGCCTGGGAAGTTAATCTTCCCTTAGATAGGTTCTTTTTCTTTTGAGTGTGGCGGAGGGTTGAGACTTGGTTTTCTCACATGAACAAATCTGTCCCTGCCTTACGTTTCCAGGCAGACACCCTCAAGGAGCGGTATCAGAAGATTGGCGACACCAAAAGGGCCACACCTGTCGAAGTGCTGTGCGAAAACTTCCCCGGTAAGGACGGCTGCCTCCAGGCTGGGCCCGACCAGGGTAGGGGTGGGCTTGGCCTGTTGGTCTGTGCTTCTGACCTGCTTTTCGGTCTTCTGCAGAGGAGATGGCCACTTACCTCCGCTACGTGCGGCGACTGGATTTCTTCGAGAAGCCGGACTACGACTATCTGCGGAAACTCTTCACTGATCTCTTTGACCGGAACGGCTACGTGTTTGATTACGAATACGACTGGGCCGGGAAACCCTTAGTAAGTTGCCCCGGGGGGAGTTCCAGGTGGTTATCTTGGCCTTTGGGGATGTGTTTCTGTATACAAATATGGAATGCTTATATATGTGTGTGGACAGAAGGACCCCCATGCCGGTATCCATGGGGCATTGGTTCCAACCCCAACCCCCGCAGATGCTGAAAACCGTGGATAACAGCAAACCCTAAGCATAGCACATCCTGTGGCTCCCTCCAATGGCCAGTACATTGTGGAAGTACATACATTTGCCTTTTTTTCTTTTTTAAAATATCGTATAGTCTTATACACAGAAAAATACGGTATTTCCAGACCACAGATTGTGATCCCAAGGATACGATAGGGGGGTCTTTCCTTATATAAATCATACACACTTTTTCTCCTGTTCACATGCCTTCCTGGCTCTCTCTGACAATACATAATGACATATGTGACTTTTCCCCACCAGTTGGACTCTGCTCAGAGATTATAGATGTATGGTCTTTTTTTAAAAAAACCCACGTTGTTTAAAAACACTATTCTGGGCGGTTTAGAACATGATTTTAAAAAAAAGCAGACATATAACAGTAAACTTACAAATAAGCAATGGAAGAAAGAAAACATTCCAAAAAATGCAGACAACAAACACAGCCTAGGAGGCTCCTAAACTCCATTCTCCAAATTATAATTCAATTTACTGTCTCATCATTTTGTCCTTGAACTCAAGGGGCCAGTGTGGTCCAAGATCTAAAACTCCCCATCCCAAAGAGTGGTGGGATTTTGCAACCCCGGCCAACAGCCACTTGACACACACACACCCTTGGAATACGCGAGGTCTCCGCCCTGACCTTCCACCCACAAAATGTTTGTCTCTTCTCCCCGTTTCTCTGCAGCCGACCCCCATCGGCACAGTCCAGAGCGACGTACAAGTCCAGGCGCCAAACCGGGAGAAAGCACCGCAGTACATCAAACAGCAGGTACGGCCGTTTGGGCGTGAGATCGTGGCAGGAAAGACTTGAGCGCCAATGGTAAGAGGGCCTGCCGCTCCTTAGAAACGGGACGGATGTTCCTCGTGGACGTGTCTTGGCAGGCTGGGCCCTGCCGCCATACAGGGTGTGAAAATTCCCGGTATGGCAAGAAAGGAGGTGTTTGGGTCTCCCAAGTTCTTCCTAGACTACAGTTCCCAGAACCCTCAGCTGGTGGTGAAGGCTTCTGGGAATTGGTGGTCTCCTTTTCTCAGATACTGTTTATTCTGTACCATCGATCTCGGTAGGAGGAATAGATTTTGAACAAATGGATTGTTTTACGCTTTCCTTTAACAAGCTCGAGGGAGGAAACTCTGTGATCCTAATGCTGGAAACTAGACCAAATTGACGTCGGGGGGGCCAGGACTGGATTTTCATGGTTTCTGGAGAGGCAGGGAAAGGACCCTGGATTTACCATGTTCCGTCTAGTGTTCACTGCTGGCTGATTTAAGGAGTAGTAAGGGGTCCCTTCTAAATCACTGGGCATGTGGCATTTTGAGGCTTAGGTATTTTCCCTCCTTTGAGGGCTGGGAGAGAACTAGTGTCAGAGAGAGTGGGGCAGGCAATCGCAGCAACACCCCACACACAAACACACACCCTGAGAATTTGGGGTGTGCTTCGGGCTGCCTGGCCGAGTGGAGAGGCCCAAGTGCGAGGCGCCTGCGCGTACGCTAACCGAGTTCCCACGGCCGTCGGCGGGCCCTGTGAACGGAACCGGCTCGTCCAGTGTGGATCCCGACCCATTTCTCCTCTTCTTTGGAACATGCCTCTTTAAGTTCCAGACCTTTTCTCGGATCCGAACCGGGTGCTTCCCGGCCTCTCGGGGGGGCTACGGCTCCTTCCTGGGAGTCGTAGCCCATCGAATCTGGACGGCACCCGGTTAGGGGGGACGCTGCTGTAGAGACTGCATGTTGATCTTGTTTTTATGTTTTTCTACTCTTGCATGTTTTATTTTTCCTTTCCCCTCCCGCCCTTCTTCTCTTCCTCCTCCACCTCTCTTGGACTTTTCCTTTTTCCCTGGATCACTGACCCTTCTCCGTTTTCTCTTCCTTTTGTATTATTTCATTTTACTTCTTTATCTCCCCCCCTTCCTCCTTTTTTTGTTGTTCTTTCTGTCCTCCGTCCTTAGCAATCACCTGAAGGGACGGAGCTTTGGGACCCTCAGGCTGGCCAGCCACCTGCTGAGGAGGCGCTAGGAACTTACTTGGCAACCGGCAGGCTTGGGGGTTCCGTCCAGGTACACGAAAGGGACCGACTGGGTGGGTGGAGTGGGGGGCATGCACAGGGGAGGGGCTCCTGGGTCTCGCCAGCTGTTGTCCGGGCTCCAGAGCTGTTGCCAAGGTGCTTTCAAGCATCTCCCTGGATCGGCTTCAATGGAAACAAGGAAAGAGGAGGGGAAAATACAGGGTGAGAAACACCAGCAAAGGAGAAAATAGATGTAATTTATTTAAAATATTTTTACCCCACCTTTCTCCTAAAGCAGGACCCACTGTGGCTTACGCCATTGTTAAAAAAAAAAACAGTAATAAGTAGGATTACTTATTGTGGTATTTGTGGGAATCATTTCCAAGTCTTCCTCGGCCCCACTGATGCCAAAAAAATATGGACTTAAATGAACCCTACACATTGTGTGGTCTCTGACTCCATCTAATGGCCGGTTCTGGTAAATACTCCTTGGAAATATGTACTGTATACATATTTCTGGGTGTTTTTTTTTATTATTATTATTTTCAGGCAGAGGATAAGTGGTGTCAGCAGATAGTGATTCCGCAGATAAGGGAGTCCTATTGTACAGTATTTGTAAGCTTAAAACTATCCAGTGTGGTGTAATGGACAGAGCGACGAACTAGGGCTCTGGAGACCAGGGTATCGAATTCCCGCTCGACCAGGGAAACTCCTCGAGGGGGAGAAATATCTCGCTTATCTTGAAAGCCATCCCTGTTAGGGCTGCTGTAAGTGGGTTCCGACTTCATGGTGCAGAACCACCAGGCAAGAAACCGGACGTGATTCAAACATTAAAAAGAATGCATAACAGAACATTTGTTTTTCAAAAAAAGGTAAAAGCATTATTACAAAAGGACAGACCTTTTGTTATTGGCGTTTTGGGGTGGGTGGGCTGCATGGATTCCCTTTCAGCTCGACAGTTCTGGAGTTCAATTTGCCTGTAGCTGGAGCCTTCTGGATCACCTCTCCTCCTTCATTGGCGAACGATTAAGGAAATTCTGTACTGATTAAAGGAGGGGTGGGCCTCATGCATGAACCGCTGGATAGCCCAGGGGTGGAGGCCTCTCTGGCTGTGGAGCCAGAAGTTGGGAGTTCAAACCCACCACTGGGGCTGGACTGGATGATCTCGAGGGTCCTAGCTCTGCCATTCGAAGATGACGGTGATCAGACCTTCTGGCCCTTTCTTTTTGTTTCCTCTCCAGTTTCGGCCATCCCCAATTTCTCCACTGATTCTCTTTTTCAGACTGTGGGGTTGGGAGGGGGTGGAATGAAATACCGGCATGACCAAAAAAAAAAAAAAAAAGGCTGGGCTTTGTTTGCTTTTGTGGCAATGAGCAGATTTTGCTGCACGGCTATCCCCATTTATGGATTTCTCCAGGGCTTTGGGAAGGAGAAACCAAACAAAAGCAATCGAAAGACCTGCAAGGCGACGTGTCAGTTGCTTTTGTTGGGTTTGCTCGTTGCGGACAGCTGGAAGTCTGTAAATTTGGACAGCGAATCTGATTTGCAATGGGGGCTGAATAACTTTGATTTCAACTGCAGAGTCTGCAGTGTGCCGTTCTGTTGCCTCAGTTAAGGGGGAAATGCAGCTTTCCCAAAAAGCTCCAGCAGTCTTAATAGAGGGAGTTTTTCTGTCTCTTGGTCTTTTAACGTGTGCTCCGTACACTTTTCCTCCTCTGGAGTCAAGCCGATTTCCACCTTGAACAGTTCTCCAAAAACAAAAAAACAGGCTCCTTTCCTTCTTAAACTACTAACTCCAAAGATGAAGGTCGTGTTTCTCTGAATCCTGAGATTATTTTTGGGATTGTTTCTTGGCTGGCTAGCTGCGGGTAGAGTCTGCTTTTTTTCCTGCGTGCTCATGGAGACGTGGCTCTCTTTCTCCCCACCTCTACCTGCACAGCAAACCTGTAAAAGAGCTCAGGCTGAGAAAGGGAACCTTCCCCCCGGCCCACGTTTGCCCAATCCACGCGAGGACTTGAATCTGGAACTTCCTTGTGCCAGCTCAGCAAAAGTTACCAGGGCCGACACTTGGGTACATCCTTCCGTAGAACGGTTGTGGCTTGGAAGGGTCACGGCGGAAAGGCGTTAACTTCTGAGGAGGATGCTGTCTCCGGGGCCAGGATAGATTTCCCTTCTGGGTTTCCGACTCTGGAAGATGGGTCCAGGGCTTGTCTGAATGTTACTTTTCGAAACCAAAAAGCACATACCTGCCCCATAAGAGGTATATGTTTAGGCTCTTCTGGAGTACACATGCTAAATAATTTTAGTAACTTCTCTCCTGTACTGTTTTTATTGGGGGGGGGCGGACAAGGACAGTTTTGGACTTGGGATTAAACAGCATGTGGGGCCAGGGAGGGACATGGAGTCAGTTTCTTGAAAATCAGATCGCAGCCTCTTTGTTAAAACTTGCTTTCTGGCATGATTGTTGTGCAGTTTGAACTTCTTAATTGTTAGAGCAGTACAACAACAGGACCCATGACCTTGGGAGGTGGTGAGCGCTACAGCTCTGTGGAGGCATTCAAGAGAAATTGGACCACCATTTATCAGATCTGCTTGGATTTGGGTTCCTGCCTTGAGCAGGGGGTTTGGACCGGATGGCCTTAGAGGGGCCTCCTTCTGACTCCACGAGTCTAGGATTGATCTGTTCTCCTCAGTGAGGGATGGAAGCTTGGGGTTTTTGTTTCCTTTGGATTTGTAAGTCAACCTACAACATAAATATTCTTAGGCTGGCTTATGCCAGTCAAGGACGACATGGCGAGCACCAGAGAATTTTGGAACGGCAGCTATGGCTGGCCACCCAGGAAATGTAGAAGTTCAGAGGCAGCAGGGAAAATGGGATACTTTAATAGGAGATGGACTTTAAGTTGAAAAGAAAGTGGGAGAGTGAGCACGCTGCTTAAGTACACTTTCTCCACTCCGGGATCAAACATGCCGTACTTTTAAATTATGCGTACCCGCGCTTGATTTAATGTTATTTGTGGTTAATGCAAAGCAGGTATCTTAAGAAGCCAGGGACTGATATGTGTGAATCGGAGCGGGTTTGCAAAACCATGGTTAGGATGGTACAAAGCAGTGAGTTAGCCCTGGGGAAGACGGGGTGGGGTTTGTTCAGGCCGAGATTTGGGGGGGCAGATACCGCTTATACACTATGCAATGGGGCTGGCATGTACCCATAAAGCAAAAGAAGCAAAGCGGACTGCTTCTATACCATCCCATAGTGCTTAAAGCTCTCTCTCGGTAGTTTACAATTTAATTCTGCACGGCGACACATTGCCCTCCCAGCAAGCTGGGGGACTCAGTTTACTGACCTCGGAAAGAGGGAAGGCTGAGTGAACCTTGAGCCAACTCCCTGGGATGGAACCCAGGTTGTGAGCAGAGTTTCAGCTGTGGTACTGCAGTTTAACCACTGCTCTATTCCTGTTGAGAACCACTAAAGTAGGATAACAGTGCGCGCGTGTGTGTGTGTGTTTATATATACAGTGGTGCCTCGCTTAACGAGCGCCTCGCTGAGCGATGAAATCGCTTAACGAGGCGCTCTGGGCCATCGCTGGAGCATTCGCTCAGCGATGGCCCCTATGGCGATTTTTCGCTTTGCGATATTCGCTAAGCGATTCGCTTAGCGAATATTGCATAACGAAGTGGGGGAGAACAGCTGATCGGCGGTTCCAAAATGGCCGCCGGAAGGTCCGCGCCGCATTTTCGCGCCCTGCCCTCACTTACCAAGGGCGCAAAAATGGCGGCGCTATGGCAGAACCTCGCACAGCGGTGAGTTTTCAAGCCATAGGAACGCATTGAACGAAGTTCAATGCGTTTCTATGGGCGGACCTTCCGGCGGCCATTTTGGAACCGCCGATCAACTGTTCTCCCCCGCTTCGTTATGCGATATTCGCTAAGCGAATCGCTTAGCGAATATCGCAAAGCGAAAAATCGCCATAGGGGCCATCGCTGAGCGAATGCTCCAGCGATGGCCCAGAGCGCCTCGTTAAGCGATTTCATCGCTCAGCGAGGCGCTCGTTAAGCGAGGCACCACTGTATATATAAACACACACACACACACACACTGTTATCCTACTTTCGTGGTTCTCAACAGGAATAGAGCAGTGGTTAAACTGCAGTACTGCAGCTGAAACTCTGCTCACAAGCTGGGTTCCTTCCCAGGGAGTCGGCTCAAGGTTCACTCAGCCTTCCCTCTTTCCAAGGTTGGTAAATATATATATATATACTGAGTTTCATCTGGCTTTGCATTTCCAGTCTTTCCTCTTCGTTGGCCGAGGCCAATGTTGACGATTGAAAGGGGGGAAGGGGTTTAACGGTGGCCATCCTGTTGCCCACCTCTCTCCCCTCGGCGTGGCTCGGTAGCTCATATGGTCCGACCTTGCTTCCCTCTCTTTTAGGTCATGAGTTCCACCAACGGTGAACTGAACACCGATGATCCTACCGCCGGCCACTCCAACGCTCCCATCACCGCCCCGGCTGAAGTTGAGGTGGCCGACGACACAAAGTGAGTCGTGCTGGTAGAAAAGGGGTTTTGGATGTGGTGGGGAGACAGTCCCCATCTGTCCTAGGTTGATGGGGGGGCGCCCAGGGGCCGACCCACCCAGAACCTCCTTGGAAGCTAAACAATTACAGGATGGACTGCCAGATAGTTGAGGTCTCTGGATGTGGAACCAGAGGTTGGGGGTTCGAATCCCCCCCAGTTCCTCCTTGAGAGGGGCTGGACTGGATGATCCAGAGGGTCCCTTCCAGCTTTGCCCTTCTAAGATGAGGAGGAGGAGGATTAGCAAAACAAGCCTGTAAAAATCAGCATGTTAGCTTGTGGCTTTTGCTTTCTTTCTGCTTTGCTGCAATTTTGGAAATATATATGTATGTGCTTCTTGTCCTTCCTTTTTAGGTGCTGCTGTTTTTTCAAGAGAAGGAAGAGGAAAACCATCCAGCGTCACAAATGAAGCCCCTCCCGCGTCGGCCGCGGGCAGGATCCATTCAGAACTGCGTCGTCGTTTCCCCCTTTTGCTTCCTGGCAGCTGATAATGAGATTTGGAGCCCTCAGCCGGGCGGGGGACCCACTCCGCCGCCACTGCCGTCAGTTTTGGCGGGCAGTGTGCGTGGGGGGGGCGGGATTGGGAGGAGCAGGAGCCACTCGGCAGTTTTGGCGGGCAGTGTGCGTGGGGGGGCGGGATTGGGGGGAGCAAGAGCCACTCGGACTTTCTTTTGCCGGCTCCCCCCCGGACCACGTTTTGTCGGCTCCCCGTCTCCCTCTGTCCTCCTCCTTCCGGGGGACACGGCTGTTTCTCAAGGGTGCCACGGGCGCAGGAAAAAAAAAAGAGACAGACGTTGGACATTTGTCCGAAAGCATTCACATCCTCCTGGCCTCCCGGTCCCCGGGGGGGCAGGGGTGGATTTGAAAAACGACTACAAACGAAGCATTCACTATTTATGCATCACTTCCTTCTCTTCCCCCTTTCCTTCTGTTGGCTTTCTCCTCTTCCTCCTTTCCATTTCCGGCTTATTTGGTTTTTGAGGTTTGGCGAATCAGGTTTTGCAGGGGGGTTCCTGTCTTTGTTTTGGGGAGAGAAAGAAAACGGGACTCGGAAAGCTACACTTTTTCAAGGAAGCCGAGTGGTAACTTGCGAGAGCGGCTGTCAAGGCCGGCCGGCCGCCCTCGCCCCCCTTCATCGCGTCTGTGTCTCCTCTCTTCTAAGTTAATTTAAAACATTGCGTTTTCTGCCCTGATGCCTGGAACCAGGAGGCCCGTCTCATCCTTGTCGTCTTTTTACGAGCATCTTGGCTTTTTCGTCCCTTTTTGAGCATCTTTCTTTGTCCTTTCCCTGTGGGTTCGGTTCTCTGCCCCCGAAGGGTCCCCATTATTGAGGAGGCTGGGGGGGGCTCCCCCGGCGATGCCGTCACATGCTCCCCACGAGGTTGCGCACACATGCACGTCTAGGGTGGCGGGAGGCATTGCTCGTTTACACTTCTCCCCACCCCACCCCATCGTTTCTCAATGCACTTTTTGGTAGCAATATGAGCGACGTCAGGCTTGAAATAATCTGATTTTAGAGATTTTTTTTTCCTATTCAGATACTTAAGTTTAAATAAAGGCATAAGGGCCCACCCGCTTCTGGGGTGGCTTAGGCAGGAAAATAAGGAACAGCAAATGATTTTTTTGATCTCAGGAATGGCTGGCAGCCAAATGTAATCCCCTCTCCCAAAAAGCCAACTTCCAGGGGTACAGGATGAGGAGGAGGCAATGTGTTTCCAGAGTGAAATTGGAAGCGGAGAGAGGCCAGTGAGCCGCGGGGGGGGGGGTGTCCCAGCATCTCGCAAAATTGTTCCTTTTTTTCAAATCTGTTTCGTTGAGTGAGAAAGCTGGTGGGGTCACCAGTTCCCCTTGCAGCCTTGAATTGACGGGGGTGGCCGTTGTGAAAGAGGAGGCATGGGGGGGAAACAGGGATGGACCTGTTCCCCCCGCCCCCCCCATAAATTCTTTGTGCAAGGAGCATCCATCCCATAGTTTTTGGGCTTTTTGCAAAAATCCACCACCTCCACCTTGGGTGCAAGGTTGAACGCGAGGCCCCGATGGCAGAAGCCGCCTGCTCTGGAAGGCCGAGGAACAAGCAGAAGGGGGCAGCGCTGGGCACCCCTGGCGCAACAGGACGGCCCTGTCTGTATTTTGGGCCTTTTGTCCCCCCAATCTAGATTTATATTTTTTTACACAAAGAGGTCCAGGAGCAAGGGTGTCCCCCCTGCCCCTTTTCCCCCTCACCCACCCACTCCCTTCTGGTCATTGCATCACCCCGTGCTGGGGGGGGCCTGTTGTGGAAGTTTGTTTGGGGTCCGGGGAGAACGCAGTTTGATCCACTTGTTTGGGGTGTTTGCTACAATGGACCGAAACAGTCTCTTAAAATTTTTTAAAGAGGACCGTCACACCCACGGAAGCATCTGTCGCTTGGTGCTACACCCTTCTCTGCTTTGCTCTGTTCACTCTCCACCGTGATGGGAGGACGGTACCCGACGTCTCGTCCACTCCGGTTTCACTCCCTTTCTAGATCTGGATTCGGGGACCTTGGCGTCACTGCGGATTTATAGGTTCCGGTCTTCGGGGGGGGGGGTTCAGGTGGCTGATGGCCACGAGACGTTGTGTAGAACAAGGTGGGGGGGGGTTGGCTTGCGTCAAAAGACAAGCCCAACCCATTCGCTCACTTCTCTCTTCACTCTTGGCCGATGGGGGGAAAAAAAGCCGGCACTTCTTCTCAAATCTGTGCATTTATAAAAAAAAACCCAGAAAAACAACTTTCGAAACTCAATATATTGCCTGGATGTGTGTGTGTGTGCCGTTTTTATTTTTAATTAAATTTTTTTAATGGCCATTTGAAGAGTGAAAAAGGTCTTATGTACAGATTGGCTGGCTTGGTTCATCCCCTTGGTGTATACATTTTATAACAGTGCCTCTGCCGTGCTAAAGAGAACCAGGACGATGGGAAGGGAGGGGGGGAGAGGAAGGGGTGCTCGTAGAGACCCTAGATTCTGGTGACTTCCACTAAAAAAAATTACAAAAATAGGATTGCTTTAGGTATGTGCAATGTTTGAGCTTGTTTCCCAGAAAATGCAAAGAGAATAAATAAATAAACAACCCCCCACAAAACACAGCCTTAAATGTTGTGCTGGAAAAAAAATGTAGTTCCAGTCCCAGGAAGGTATATAAAAAATAAATAAAATAAAAATGTTTCTGTAAAGAATGCATGAGTGTGGTTTGGGTACCGGTCACTGTGCAGTTTGATTCTTTTCTCCACCCACATTTTTTTAATTAAAGTCTGATTTGAGCAGCTTTCAGGAGCAAGCAGCTGGACAGCTCACAGAACGTCCATCTTTTACCGTCTGCCTCCGAGACATGCTTTTTTTTAACCTAAAGTTCTGAACAATGTTGTCCGACGGGCGCCCAAACGAACCTTGCAATTTTGTTGTGGCAGTTCTTTCCAAAAAAAAGGGGGGGGAGATGTTGAGCAAAAGCTGAATGCACTGGAATGAGGTTTCTTGGTGGCATTGGTCTGCAGCAGGAGTGTGTGTTGCGTTATGAGTTTTGTTACTCCTTTTTTAAAAAGTGTACCAAGATAATATATAAGTTTCTCTGAAACTTCTCTGAAGCCATTGCAGCTAGCTTTTTTTAAAAGAAAAATCAAAAAGGGAGGGGGGAAATCCCAAACATTAAACAAAAACATTTTAAAAATATGTTCTGTACGGATATTTTTGTGTGCATGCACACGCGTTTTGGTTGAAAGTGGCGGGGAGCCTCGGAAGGCTTATCTGGGCAAAGAGATTGGAGGAAGTAAAAACAAGATAGGGAATGCATTTTAGAAAATTAACTTTAAGGACTGTTCTGCTAAAAATCCCAGTTTATCCGGCATCGGGTTAAGTTGAAAGAAAAGCAGGGGGTGCTTAAAACGGCTTCTCCAAAGGCAACACAAGGAGGTTAAAAGGCATCTTTTAAAAGGTTGAGGTCTCTGTGTTGTGGCGCCAGGGGTTGGCCTCCATGATGGGCTGAACTTGATGATCCTTAAGAGTCCCTCCCAAATTTGCAGTTGTAAGAGAATGATGATGATTCTTCCCAAAGGTTTCCAAAGTGGACTCTTTCCAAAGGTTTCCTTCTGCTCTCCCTCCTACCCACTGATTCATGTCACACTGCAAGGGCGGTGCCTTCAACACATTTTGTGGGCTGCAAAGGCAAAACCCCCCCCGACCCCTCTTCGCCTACAAAGGCAAAGGGAAGCTTGAGAGTTTGACGACTTCTGGAAAGTTTGTAATTTAGAGGATGGAGCCGCACAAACTTTGCAACAGAGTTGTCGTACGATTTGGAAGGTAGGGTCTTCAGATGCGCCGCCCAGAGACGACAAGTCATCTCGAATAGGTACCTCCCAACTCCTGCTCAGGCAGCATCAACTCATGGTACAATTTCAACCTTTTTAATCTACGTACGGTACTTCCAAACTGCCTTGTAGGAGTTACTTTTGCAGGGTGGATTTGGGACCCCCAAAGCCAGAGCCCGGCAAGGACACCTGCAGCCACAAAACCAGGACTCTTTTCAATGGGCTCACGTACATGGGCCATGGTGTGAGTTACTTCTCCCCACAAAAAGTTTTTTTAAAAAAAAAAAGCTGGCACTTCTATGCTTTGGAGCCCGAAGCTAAATTAACACCTGGCTCTCCAGGATGTGGGTTTTGGTTTGTTTTTTGTGTCTCTCCAGCTGCACAGAAGGGGGCAAAGTCTCCATTCTTTTGGGGGGGGTGAGGGAGCATCAAAGCCTGTTTCGTACAGTTACCTGCTTGCTTTCTTGCGTTCTGTCTGCCTGTCCAGCCACAAAGCACTCGCTCGCTAAAATGAGAAACCTCGCTTGCCTTTTATTCTTATTTACAAACTGAAAAGCAGAGAGAAAAAGAAAATGGGGGTGAATGCCAAATACAGTGGGTGGAATACATTCACGATTGTATTTAGAGTATGGCATGGGCACCCTGCAGGTCCTTCACACATCCCGGGATCTCCACACACTCACACACTCTGTGGGGCTCCTCCAAAGGGGGAAGGAATTCTCCACGGCTAATGGCACGCAACATCAGCATTTGCCCCGGGGCACCAAGAACTGGGCTTGTGGGGAGGTCCCTTTGGTGTGTTGCAGACCTCCCACCCACGCCAGGAACCCGTTCTGTAATTGAAAAAGGGGGCCCACGAGGCATGCCAAAGGAGAGGATTCCGCTCACTTTTTCTACACTGAGCTGTGATCGCAGACAATAAGTTGTCCCCTTCACACACAGAGCTAATAAAGCCTTGTTTGGAATTCATCCAGTGATTTCTCCCTTCTCTGTTATAAGATGAGGTGGGGGGGGGTTAGGTATACCGCTCAGGGAACCTGCCTCTCTGGTGAAAGGAAAAAAAAAAACGGAGAAGGTCCCAAGAGGGAGGGGGTTAGGGATTTATTCACCTCTGCAGGGAAAGCAGCTAGGCAAAGCAAGGTTCCGGCCCTCAGCGAGGCCAGTGGCGCCATGACTCTGGAAGGAAAGCCAACAACACATGGGCTCTCGCCTCACCCGAGGGTTGGCCACAGAGGAATGGACCCGTTTGTCATATTGGCCACCGTGAGGAGTACCACGGGCCACACAGAAGCAGTCCACTGGTGTGGGAGGGAAGGAGATTTGAGTACATAGCCCCCCAAATGTGCCTCAGTTGATGCTTTTTCACCAGGAAGTTTTCTCAAGACTTGACACAGTCCAAATCAGCCCAGCTAGGTTTAAAGACCACGGCTAGGCTCTTTAAACGTCTTCAGCCAATCTGGTATGTGAACCTAAAGATGTGTCGCGAGAGTTCCCCTACAGAGCATCCAGGAGCCCTCAAAATGGTTAAGAGGAACCATCGAGACCTCTCACCTATGGAGGGGGGGAGGGGGTGCAGGATGGGCACCCTTCCCACTGCTTCACAAGGGACTCCACCAGTGTCGGAGTTACCCGTGGGAAACGTCAAGCTCCCTTGAACAGAGCCTGAAGATGAGGGACTGGATGGTCAGACAGGTGGCTTCACAGAAAGGGCGTGGGGGGGACGCGAAACCAGCACCGTCACTTCCCTAGCTGGTAACAGAGGGGCACCCCCTGCTTTTCTTTAAATTCAAAAAGAGCATAGATTACTCTTATCCATGACTTTAGAGGAAACCATGTGATCCGAGCTGGGGGATCACCAGCAGAAGCGATGCTAAGAGGAGCCCTTAGGAGGTGAAGCATCACATGGAAAGCCTGCCGAGAGAGACGGTGTAGCGGAATCCAAAAAAATGACGTCATTCCTGCCTGTCCATCACAGCCACTAAGGGGGAGGAGCCAAAGATAGAGAAGGAGGGGCGGAGCTGGAGTGACAGTTAGAGGGAGTTGAAGGGACAGTTGGAGTGAGGGAGAGGTAGAGTCAGGGACCAGAAGATGTACAGAGAGTGTTAGGGTTTAGGAACAGGTTAAAGGTTTCTGAAAGTAAAACACATGGAACAAGCAGGAATGAACGCATAAGCATAACAAGAGAGATATAAAATTGATAGTAAAGTGACTGAACCTGAACCAACTCACCTATGATTTTCCTGTTGAATAATAATAAAAGAATATTTAATCAGTCATAAACCCTGCTTCCTAAAGTATATGACCTTTTGGGGTGACAGCTCCTGTGTGGGACTTGAAGTGGTATTAGAAGAATACCTGGTGGCAGGGAAAAGGGCATGTGTTCCTTTGTGAGGCCCAAAGAAAAAGGGGCAATAAAGGGGTGATCGCCACAGACGGTTCAGTCCATGTCCGGCTGAAGCCAACGAGGGGGGAAAAATAAGCCAGTTTTGGAAGGTGGACAGCCTTCCCCGGTGACCGGATGCTTAAACCAGCCAGCATCGGTCAGGTTATTCCATGGCTTCAACCAGGGACATGAAAAGGGGTAATTTTGCACAACCATGAATAAACAGACCTACACTCCCCGCTCCTTGACAGGGACTGGACTGGCTGATGCAGAGGGTCCCTTCCAGTTCAGCCATTCTCAGAGGATGATTATTCTCACAAGATTCTTGGGAACCTCCATTTAGGGCACCTCACAGCCCGCTCAACTTCTTCCTGGTTTTCAGGGGGGTGGCAAGACACCGCCTCGTTGCCAACCGTCACAGCGACAGCTTTCTCAACGGGAACGAGACCACAGAACACGACCGGAGAACAACATGCATTGTTATGTTGCACTCTTATTAGCAGCAGAAATGGACTAAGGACCAGGCTTCCTTGACAACAACGATCCAGGCTGTGTGGGGAACGCCAATGCCAAAGGAAACCACTGCTTCCCATCCCTCCCGCCCCCGCCCCCCCAGGCTGGAGAATGAAGTGAACGCACCCACGGGGAGGGCAAAGCAAGCTGGCGGAGGCAAACCTCGGACCGTCGGCACTCCGAAATCAGTCTACGAGCTCTTGAAAGCTGGGCGGCCTCCCCTCGGTGGCCACCATCAGCTGAGGGGGGGGTGTTTCCAGGATTATCTGAAAAGGCTGCTGCCGCATGCAGGGAATCGCCCACCGCCCACGTGCAGGAGGGAAAGACTTCCAAGAGTATCGGAGCCATCCCGTTCAGGCCAGGATCTCCATTGCCCACCCAGGCCTCTTCTTTCCACTGTCATCCACACCGCTTAAGAGAATCTCTTTGGTGGCTCCTCGCAAGGGTGACTTTGCCTCCCCCCCCCCGCCAACAGCCAGAGGGAAGAAAAAGCAGCTACATTCAGTGCAATGAAGGGGTCGGGGGCGCCCCCCCAGGCCAATGGGGCTCAACCGGTCCATGTCCTGTCCTGCATGAGCTCCCGGCGTGTTCGGCAAGTGCGATCTCAGACAGCCTGTCCGCTTAGTCGTTTGTCTTCTTCAGACTACCCCCCCCCCCGGTCAGTATGGCAGAAGGCAAGATGGCGACATCAGCGCAGGAGGGGGCATTAAAAGAGTGGGGAGGAGGAAGCGGTGCACGTGTCTGGCCGGCCATGAGTCTCCAGCAGTGGCCCAAACGGAAACACACACACCCCTTTAGGTGTAGAAGATGATCTCGGGGATCTGTCCATCCTCCACCGAGGTGCCGTTATTGTTGCCGGCGGCGTAGCAGAACGTGAAACAGGTCTTGGCCCCCGTCGTCGGCGACTCGTGAATCACTTTACGCAGCCCTTTGGTCCCGTAGTGGGAATCGGGGCCCTGCAGCAGAAGGGGACAAAACAGAAGAGCCTGTTAAGACTGCCACAATGAGAGAGGCTGCTCAGTGACCTCTCTCCGACCGTCCGTGGAGGAGGAATGCTCTTTTGCCATGAAATGAAACAACACCCAGTTTTTGTTTTTGGGGCCTAGCAGGGAAGATGGAAAGAACTGGGGCCTGGTTAGCCTTGAGGAAAGACAACAGAGGGGAGAGAAGAGAGCATTTTTCAAAGACTCTGAAAGGTAGGGGCAGGATCTCTGTCCCTCCATCCTCCCAGAGGGCAGGACATGTCAAACAATGGGCTTGAGCAGCAGGAAGCCGGATTTCGGCTATATTATCATAGAAAAACTTCTCAACTGTTAGAGCAGCACAACAACAGGACCCACGACCACCCGGAGTAGACCCTTGGTCTAGATGGGCGGGACAGAAATCTAATAAATAAATGACCTCGGGAAGGAGTGAGTGAGCCCTCCAATGTTAGAAATCTAATAAATAAATAAATAAATGACCTTGGGAAGGAGTGAGTGAGCGCTCCAACTCTGGAGGCCTTTAAGGGAAAACTGGATCTGCTTTGATTTGGATTCCTGTATTGAGCGGGGGAGGGGGGTGGACTTGATGATATTTTGGATCCATTTCCAACTCAACTGTTCTAGGGTTCTATGCTTCTACACTGACCTTCTCCCAGTTCCTTAAACAATGCCCCCATAAAATCTGAGAAAGGGCTCCACTGGAGCGTCCTTCCTTGCCCTTCCTCTCCACACTGGGTTCCAGAAGGACCAAGGATGCTCTCCCCCCCCCCCCCTCCCGGCTGCCTGCCTGTTCCTCCACCCCAACTCAGGGCACCTTGAGCGTTGCGCAGGCTGTGTAGCTGACAGCAGGCAGGATCTCCACGGGCTCCTTGAACATCACCCGGAAGGTGTTGGACGAGCCGTCGCAGCTGAAGCCTGTGTCGTTCTGGCCAAGGACCGTGTTGCTGTCTGTGTGGATGATCTGAAGGGGATGAAGGAGGGGAGAATATTGGGAGGGAGGAGCTGGGCCAACACCCAAACTGCAATTTACACAAAACCAGACATGGTTCTTCCATGTAGGCATGTCTGCCTGCATGAATGCGTGCATGCACGTATTTATTTAAAATAGTTTTTACCCGCATTTTTCCTCAAAAGGACCCAAGAGGCTGTGACTGTGACTCATAATTTAGGGGGTTTAGCTGGTGCTGTGCCCCCCCCCCGGGCTGAGGCTATGGACAGGATAAACTAGAAAATGAATAACAAAACAAGTTATATGATGCTCTCCTAAACACACCAAAGGTAGCTGAGTCTCGGAAGCTAAACAAGGTCTGCCCCAGTCTGTATAGGGACGGGAACCTCTACAGCTACAGTGGGATGATAATACATCATCATTGTGTGCCATCAAGTCTGGCTGATAGCAAGCCTTTTCCAGGTAGAGCGTCCTCAGAAGTGGCTTCCCCTTCTCTTATTCTGGGGGCAGTTCTGGGACTGTAACACAGATTAATGCTCCTGTTAGCCGAGGAAGCCAGAGCCTGGCTTGTGGGAATGGGTGGGAGAGCCCCTTTCCATGGTCTGTGTTTGGGGCTGCCCTCCTGCCCTGCCCCGCCCCTGCCCACAGCTTCATGCAAACCCCAAGGATAGGACATTTTCTACCTGTATATTTACTTGGTAATCTGTCGGGCCGTGGATGGAGCCGTACAACCCAAAACCGACAATAAATATCCGTTTGTTAACAGAGAACCTGCGGGAGGCGCAAAGAGAGAAGACCAAAGTCAGAATCAGAGCAGGTAAGGCTGGTGACAAAAAGTCATCTATATATCACACAAAGTAAGCAGAGTTACCCCAGTTACAAGATCCTAACCCCCTTCCCTGTCGGGAAGACAGCCTTGCTATTCCTGCCGGCTGCTGACATCCCGCCCCCCTCGACGCTTAAGAAGAGCTCGGGAAGATTGTGGCAGAGATCTGGGTCAAGGCTGCTAATCCAGCTCTGCGTATCTCCGGTCAAAGAAAGCGTAAGGGCAGGAGAGCCAACAGAGAGCAGGTACATGGTGGAGGTTCTGCTACCGCCAAGGGGTCAGCTGCTTTGTTTTCGGGGGGGGGAGAGGGAACTTCCCGACATTGGAAGGGAGAGCTGGGCCAGGAAGTGGGTTATTGCCAAGGACTTAAAAAGCCTAACACCTCCTTGCCATGGGAACCACAGCAAGAGGATCAAAAGAAAGGAAGAAGCCGGTGGCCCCTTAAGCGTTAGAAAGATTCACCGTGTTTCATGGACAGAGGGCCCCCCTTCGCCACACGCCTCTGAAGAAGCGGGCGACGGTCTCCGAAATGAAACCCAGGAGGCTTTCAGACCTAACAGGGCTCTTTGGCAATTTCGCAGCAGTAACAGTGACAAAGAAAGCCGGAGTACCGGATCCGGTCGCTGGTCCCGCTGTAACCCCAGCGGCTCTCCACCTGCTGGAAGCGGTTGATGCTGCCTTCCTTGCCTCGCAGGCAGCAGCGCGGCCGGTCGATGAACTCCACCCGCGGCTTGGGGTTGACAGTGAAGTGGAGGAAGAGGCTGACCACCTCCCGGTCCGTGAGGATGCCTGACTGAGCTGGCCCTGGAGGAGGCAGGAGAGCAAAAGCCCACATCAATTCCATGGTTTTATTCACACAGGCAGGGAGTTTTAAGAGGAGGGTCACCATGGGCTCAAATGACATAAAGCCAGATTTGGGCTGAATCTCAGGAAAAACTTCCCAACTGATAGAGCGGTACAACAACGGGACCTGTGACCTCGGGAGGGGGAGAGCGCTCTCAATGCTGGAGGCACTCAAGGGAAAACTGGACAAGCATCTTATCAGATCTGCTTGGATTTAGATTCCTGCCTTGAGCAGGGGGTGGGACTCGAGGCCTCTGCCAACTCAGGTCGTTCTATGATTCTACACTATTTTTGCAGAGAAAAAGAAAATGCAAACCTGCACACGAGAGAAGAGACACGGCAGACATAAAATAAGAGGGTAGGACAAACAACCAATGCTGTGTTTTACTCTTATCCCATTCGGTTCTTTATTAACAAGAACAGGGGCCAATTCCTGCCGTTTTTTGGTTTTGTTTTTTTTTTTTTACCACTCTGGAAATCCACGGCCCGAAAGGAAAATGGCCAAAGGAAAATGACAAGCAAGAGAAGGGCAGAGATGCAGGTAGGCTGAAGGCAGAGCAGGGAGAACAACACAGGAGCAACTCTTCCTCCTCGCCTTGTTCCAAAGAGGCTTCTGCAGCAGCTAGGTTTTACGTATCGTCTCTCTCCCCCTGTGGTCTAGGTCTATACCCGGCCGCCTGCCCCCTACAACATCCTTCCTGGTGGCCAAAATCCTCCACCGGAGGTAAAACGATTCCCGGCGGGGCTAGTTTTGAGTCCACGTCACCATTTCCGGCTGTGGGACAGTTCAAACCACCCGATCCAGAGGGAGGCGGGGCACATATGGTCCCCTTGTTTTAAATGCACAGAAAAGAGGATCTTCATTTCTTTACTTTCAGCTCGACACAGGAATATTCATTTGGGAAAAACGGCTCCCCAACAGAGCGGCCCAAAAAGAAGAGGGAAAGCCCAAATCTTCCGCTTAGTGGCAGGAGTTTTGTTTGGGACCCTGATCCGTGTTAACCAAGGAAAGGGCCGTTCTGGATTTATTCAGCTGTCCCAAGAGGGATTTCCCCCTTTCCCCCCTTCCTGTCTTTTCCCAAATAAAGAAACAGACAAGGTGTGTTTCGTATCACATCCCTAGACACAATCGAAACCCAGCGGTGGAATGTTATCAGCCCTGTATCTTTGGTGTGGCTCTTTCACAGTTTGCCTTCCGGAGCAAATTCCAGAAAGAAAGGAAAAGCAAGAAGCCCTTTTGTTTATAAAAGTTATTTGCAGCGCTGGCAAAACACAGGCTGGTGGTGTGCTTAGTCGGCAGACTGAAGTTTTATTTCAATGGCTTGTTTTAACTTTACTAGAAGCTGCCGACGGAGGTAGAAGACGAGTTGGACCAAGAAAGAAGGGGAAAAACTTTATCTTTAAACACACACACAAACATGCACATATAACATTCACTAGAGCATTTCGCATACCATTTAGTGAAATGGTTTAAGCTATTATTAATCGCAAGTAATAAGTTTAGAAGTAGGAAGGGACCTTGTGGGTCATCCAGTCCAGCCCGTCAAGGAGACCCAGTGGAATATTCAAACTCCCAACCTCTGGCTCCGCAGCCAGACAACCTAAACCCCTGAGCTATCCCCGCAGGACTATGTTGTTTGGTGGTGTGTGGGGTTTTGGTTTGTTTTTACCAAAACTGCTCTACAATAAATCAGATTTAAAGGTTCTTTAAAAGTGGGTTGAAACCTGTGAGTAAGAAACCGCTGTAGGCCAGACGGAGGAGTGCGGTTTTTGCCAGGAGCTCAACAGAGAGGACTTCCCTGGTGCTGCAGCCAAGAAGGCCCTGTCTTGTAGTCCTCTCTTGCCCACCCTCCCTCCCTCCCTGGGCGGCGGGACATACGACAGGGCCTTAAATAAATATCTTGCCCCTCCCCCCCAAAAAAAACACCCTGTTTATTTTGGAATATTTTTCAAGACAAGGTTACCCGCCGCAAACTCCTCAATTGTCATCAGGGGGAAGCGGATGAGCGAGAGGGCCTTCCCCAGGGCCTGGCGCTTGTTCTCGGGTGCCACCTGCAGCTGCTGGCGCTGGCACTCGGCTTCGGCCCACCGGACCACGGCGTTGAAGAGGCGCACCTCCCGGATGCCCAGGGTGTCCCGCTCCAGGACGGCCACCAGCGTGTCTGCCGGTCGAGGAAAGGGAGGTCAACTGGGGGTCCCTTCAGTTCCTCCTTACCCAGGAAAGAAAACGATCTGGCCCATCTGCTGGGTTTTTAAGGAATACTTTGCACCTCAAGGTGATTTCCCAGGAACCACTGCCTGCCAGCTTGTAAAGGGTCTTATTCTAGATGGATGGGAATTTAGGGTGAGGGCAAGCCTGCTGGGTTGAATGATCGGCTCTGAGCACAGGGTCTGAACCCTCCTCCAGGAAAGGCAGGGTGGACCAAGGACTCCTTACCGTCCAAAAACCAAACAGAGGCTGCGATTGTTTTTGAAAGAAGGATACAAAACAGATTTCAAGCGGATCAAAAACACACAAGAATGCAGGCATTAAAAACAATACAACTCCAAAATCAGGTTCCTGTTTGGCTGGCATTTAGCTTCTCTGTCTCAGAACCCTCTCGCTGTTTGAGAGGCAGCGAAATCCTGACCTCGGAGGTTATACAGTATATATAAAAATGATGCCTTTATATAAGATCTCCTTCCCCCTATTTCTTAAGTTTTTTACCGGATAGATCATTCCAGTGGTTAACCTCCAAGGTCAGGATATATATATAAAAAGCTGAAACAGAGATCCAAATTAAAATTGCTTAGCCAAAAGGAAAAGCAATGATTACAAAAAGGGAGTTTTCTTAGAAGAGGCCTTTGAAAGCAGCAAAAGAGGGTGTCGTCTGTGGTCTGAACTGTGGCAGGTCGCTTACCCAGGTCGATATCCGTGAAGCCTTCGGCATTGATGGCGTCGGACGTGTTCTTATCGATGTTCTCCAGACAAAGGCAGGCGAGCTGGGGCTCGTCAAAGAGCCGTGCCTAAGAAAGGGACGTCAACCGGTAAAGGGAAAATCAAACGGGGATTCGCAAGAGGGGCTCCCACAATACCGTGCTCGCTTCGGGAGCCTCTTCTCAGCGTAGCGGGAGCCTTGGAGGTGCTGACCTCCCAAGCGCCGACCGGCTGAGAGAGAGGCGCCCCCAATATCCTGGGTCTCTGAGAGAGAGAAGGTAAAGTTCTGACCTGCGTCAGGAGCATGAAAGCGTTGTCCGCTCTCAGGTTTTTCTTGAGGAAGTCCACACAATGGGCTTCCAGGGCAGGGACCGCGTACTTCTTGGCCGTATAAAGCGTTGTCATGACGGTCTCTGGCCCAATTTGGACTTCGTCCGAATACAGAAACCTGGAAGGGAGAAAAGAAGGAAACGTCACTGGGTTTTTTTCACTCAACGGGATGTAGCAGAGATAAGGAATATATTTTCCCCGATCAACTTGACAGGGGTTTATCAAATTGGACTGTCATGCGCAATTGCTTTTAAATTTGCTTTTAGCATTGATTTTATTTACCTGTTTTAATATAATTTGTTTCATTCTTTTAAAGTATTTCTATACTTATTGTTATCAGCTCTTAAATATTGTCCTTTTAATGATGTAAGCCACCTTAGGTCCTTCTAAAGAGAAAGGCGGGGTAAAAATACTTTAAACAAACAAAACAAGCTTTGTTACACACATTTGTTCAAAAGGAGACAGACTCTCCCCTCTCTCAGACACATTTCTGACTGTCTTAATATTTCTGTGCTATCATGAGGACTAGAACCCTTGCTAAAAATTTAAAATGGAAGTCTCTGGGCACCTCATGGTACAAATGAAAAAGAGGGTGCTTCCCGTTCTATCAATCTCCAACCCCTCTGGTTGTTCACAGTATCTTTCCAGGGTTAGCTGGCCTTCTACAGAAACCAACTTACTTCAGCAAAGCTAGGAAAGCAGCTGGCTCAACGTCAGGCAGTTCTATCTCTGTGGAGGTCGTGGCCATTCCACCGTTGAACATAGCATCGAAAACTGCACTGCCAACGGCCAACACAAACCTGGTATTTGGGAGAAAAAGGAGAAAAAAGTCGCTCACTGAGTGGATTCCACTTCTAAATCTTTTCCGTACCGTCCACTTAGATGGATCTCTGGGATCGACTTATCCACTGGGATCGACACGGAGCGAAGGATGGCAAACAACCGTTTTCCATGGAACGGTTGCAGCCTTTCCTTCTATAAATTCCTCTCTGCACTTAAACCTTCATAGAGGAGCTCTTGCTTAAAGCTTTCTAGAAACAATGAAAAACTGCCCTTCATTTCACAACAGCTGCCCAGACCTACAAAGGTAGGCAGAATTCTGTAGTGCAAAAGGCACACAAGTTGAATAGGTAGACACAGATAGGTAGAGAAAGTGTTAAGAGAATGCATACAGATATAGACCAATGGGTAGTTAACATGGACACAAATAATGCATATATGGATGGACAGGAGGATAATACAGGCAGATACAGATTATGGACAGACAGTTAATGTGGATGGACAGACTGGTTATACAGATAGACACAGCTGGACAGGTAGATAATATTGATATAGACCAGATGAATAAACTGACAGATATATAATATAAACAGAAACGCACAGGGAGAAGACAGGTACATCACACAGATAAACACTGACAGACAGGTAGAGGGATTTAGCTAGACAGGTAGGTACCTAAAGCTGCATGCTTTAGATAATACAGCTATAGATAGACAGGTAGATTATATAGATGGACAGGCAGGTCATACAAAATGATGCAGATCACCAAGTAGAAAATACAGTTATAGAAGATCAGGTTAACAGAGATAGAAATTGACAATATAAACCTAGATGGATAGGTAGATCATACAGATAAATGGATCCTGACAGACAGGTAGATGGATGGAGATATAAAAGGACAGGAAGATAGTACAGATGGACAGACAGAATGTACGGATTGACTCAGAGAGAGAAAGAGATAGACAGATAAAAAGGCCAGAGAGATACTACTGTATGTTTCCCCGAAAATAAGACAGGGTCTTATATTAATTTTTGCTCCAAAAACGCATTAGGGCTTATATTCAGAGGATGTACAACAATCTACATTTATTCAAATACTGTACAGTCCTGTCATTACCTTCCGGTTGCTGCGCAAGGGTGGAGGGCGGGGTTTCATTTAACTAGGGCTTATTTTGGGGGTAGGGGTTATATTACGAGTATCTTGAAAAATCATACTAGGGCTTATTTTCAGGTTAGGTCTTATTTTCAGGGAAACAGGATACTAGAGATGTAAATTCACAGATAGATGCATAACAGCAGACATCTATTATAAGTATAGAGGGCCAGATAGAAATGGGTACGAATTATGTAGATGGATGGATGGTATAAATCAGTGGTTCTTAACGTGGGCAATAATGCCCCCCAGGGGGCGATTTCATTTTTCAGGGGGGCGGTA